TTTATTATAGCAATAAAGGACTGACCGTGCTTGCCAAGCCTGGAACTGGCTCGCAGCGATCAGCAACTGGTTGGACCCCGCAGCCTGCTTTTATAGCTGGCTGCTGGGGAGAACCAACCAATGAGTGAGGGGGGAAAACGCCCCCGCAAAGTGAACGGACCTGAGTGAGAACTCCTAGAGTTCCAAGGACATAACAGGTCCCTTCCAACTTTGTTATTCCAGGTCCAAATCTGATCAGTAGTCAAGAGATCTTGAGAACCACAAGTAGTCCTCAACCGAGCCCAACATTTATGTTGCTTAAGTGAAGAATTTGCTAAGTGAGCTTTGTCCTGTTTTACAACTTTCCTCACCACGTTTGTTAAAAGTGAATCATGGCAGATGTCCAATGAATCGCATGGTTGTTGAGTGAATCCGAGTTCCCCGTTGACTTTGCTTGCCAAGAGGTTGCAAAGTGACTCCTGAACTTCCGCAACTGTCATAAATGTGGTCAATTCGTCCAAGCATCTGAATGTAAATCCCGTGACAATGGGGATGCTGTGTTAGGTGTGAAAAATGGCCCTGTCACTATTTTCAGCACTGTTGTAACTTTGCTAACGGTCAGTAAACAAACTGTTGTAAGTCGACGACTACCTACATCAGTGGTGGCTAACCTTTTTGGGCTCCTGTGCCGAAAATTGTGCGCACGCTTTGGCCTCCCAGAGGCTTGAGGAAGGCTTCTGCAGGCTGAAAACTAGGTCCGTTTTGTCACTTCTGGTGTTTCCAGAAAAACAGGAAGTGACAAAAAGGCCTAGTTTTAGGCCTGCAAAGCCTGCAGAAGCCTTCCTCAAGCCTCTGGGAGGCCAAAAAAGGCCTCAAACTGGCTGAAAATCAGCTGTGAAGTGTGTGCATACACAGTGAGGTAAGTTTGCCTGCAGCTCGCATGCTGGCACAAAGGGCTCTGCATGCCACCTATGGCATGTGTGCCATAGGTTCGCCATCATGGTTCTAAGCAACTGAAGTTTCTGCCGCGCAAAATTCTAACTGGAGAGTATGATTGATGACTCTTGGCTATGGATGTGTCCCATTGGAGAATATGAATTACAATACACCCAGGAGGTGGGTGGAAACCAGGGTCAAGGGTGACAATGAATGATGTGTCTCAGAGTCAGCTATACCCAGGTAGTGCCGGCATGTTAACTCCCAATAAATCTTCTTTAAGCCTTTGAAAATCCAGCTAGAGACTCATGATTTAAATGGGGGATAACTACCGGAGCCCTGACACAGGTAGTCCTTGACTTACAACCATTCGTTTAATGACCAAAGTTACAATGGCACTGAAAAAAGTGACTTATGGCCGTTTTTCACACTTATGACTGCTGTAGCGACCCCGCTTGAGAACTGACTCCTATTTACTGACTCCTAATTATGACGGTCACAGTGTCTCGGAGGTCATGTGGTCCCCTTTTGAGACCTTCTGTCCAGCAAAGTCAATGGGGAAGCCAGATTCACTTAACTGTGTTACCAACTTAACCATGGCTGTGACTCATTTAACAACCATAGCAAGAAAGATCATAAAATGAGGCCAAACTCAATAACTGTCTTGCTTAGCAACATACATTTTGGACTCCATTGTGGTTGCATGTTGATTGCTACCTGTAGTAGGTTGCATCCTGCAGTCCAGCCAAGCATCTTCATCAAACCGCAAACGGTGTAAATCTGGTTTTTGTTTTCCATCCTGGCACATATTTGGCCACATCAATCCAAAGAATCTTTCATAGCATTGGCATCAAATGAATTAGCTTGTTATACAGATTAAAATTAGCATAGCTTTCGTTTGCAGGGCAATTGCACCCTTTCCTCTTTTTTTTGCTCAGAATTAAAGGGGAGAAAAAAAACAACCGCAACATATCTAAAAATAGGAAAGAAATGAAGACATTGTGAAGCTTTATTAGCAATTTAGAATTAGGAGAAGGAGCAAATTTTCTTCTTCTTCCATTGTATGGCAAATATGTGATAGCATCAACCCATTGAAGCAAAGCTATTTGGGGAGGAAAAAATATATAAAACGCTCTGTAGAAAATAAGTTTAGGAAAAACCAAGAGTTATGGCATTGCACGTTGTTTTTTATTTTTAAAACAAAATATTGGTGAGCTTCAAAAATGGAGCATCTACTTTATGCAAAGCACCACCTGGTAAATTATGTTCCTTTCGGCTCTCGATGTATGCTATCAATGCACAGCCGTGGCTGCTTTCCAGGGTTGATTTAAAAATCTCTGATTATTTTCAGAGAGGTTCCAAGGATCCGTTTATAGCTCCAATTCTCTCTACTTGGATGTCCAAGGGTCCAGTTCCTGACACTTAAAATTAATCAATTTTCTCCTGTTTTTCCTTCTTTCTTTCTCTTCTCACACTAGTACCAGACAGTGTTAAATGTCTAAAGGATTGATTTGGATTGACAATAGAGCAGAAAATGCAAGAGATCTTTGCTCCATTTATATTAGAACGAGCGTTTCTAATTAATAATTTCTTTGTTGTTTTACTATCGATGAACGATCCTCTGGATTTTTGCAGCACAGATATGTAAAGTCTTAACTGATATCCCAATAACCATACAATTCCTCCTGGTACAAGCTGTTAGAAAAACAGGTATGAATGTGCCTCATTCATTGAACCACAAAGAGACTAGTCCTCAGTACCCATAGAGAACGGTTTACCTGAAAAGTATGACAAGGAATTGGAAACAGGCTACAAGCCATCCTTGTCTTGCAACAGTTTGTTTTAGTGACCATTCAAAGTTACGATGGCACTGGAAAAAACCGATTTTTACCCTTTTGGTTATGTGATCAAAATCCAGATGTTTGGCAACTGGTTCATATTTACGATGGTTGCAGTGTCCCAGGGTCACTAGGACAAAGTCAACGTGGAAGCCAAACTCACTTAACAACCCTGTGACCAACTTAACAACTGCAGGGATTCACTTGGCCACCGTGGCAAGGGCGGTTGCAAAATGGGGCAAAACTCATTTAACATTTGTCTCGCTTAGCAACAGAGACTATGAGCTCAATTGTGGCCGTAAGTTGAGGATGACCTGTATATGGAGTCTAAAGTGAGTTGGTCATTAAATGTTCATGTTTGTTCTTCCTTCTTCCAAATTACTGCAAAATTCATGTCACTGTTCTGCAATTTCCCGTGAGGTTTGCATTCAGTATATAACCCTGTTTTGAACGCACAAAAATATTCTTCTTTCCATCCGGTATATTTCTCCAATACCTTGAAAATGCTAGGAGATTACACAGGATTAGACAGGTAGTCCTTCAACTTATGACCAGAACTGAGCTCAAGATTTACATCGTTAAGTGAATTTTACCCCGTTTTATGACTTTTCTCATCACATTAGTCACCTGATTGTTAAGTGAATTTGGCGTCCTCATTGACTTTGCCTGTCAGGTGGTTGCAAGAGGGGATCACGTGATGCCCCGGATGCTGCGACTGACATAAATGTGAGTCGGTTGCCTGACACCTGAATTTCATAAGTCGTAAGTGTGGAAAAACGGTTGTAAGTCCCTTTTTCAGTCCGTGGTAACTTCAAATGGTCACTACATGAACTGTTGTAAGTTGAGGACTACTAGTACTGGGTAATCATGCCATTTAGATCCCCAAAAAGTGACTTTTGGGGGGCCTCTTCCACTGAGATGGACAATGGTTTCTTTGTCTTGGGGCACGGACTATTAGAAGCACATATAGGTATTCCTCAATTTACGATGATTCATTTAGTGATCGTTCTAAGTTACAATGGCACTGAAGTAACTTATGACCGTTTTTCACACTTATGACCGTTGCAGCCTCTGCGTGGTCACGTGATCAAAATCCAGCCGCTTGGCAACGGGCTCACACTTATGACAGTGGCAGCGTCCCGGAGTCATTCGATTCCCTTTTTACGACCTTCTGACAAGCAAAGTCAATGGGGGAAGCCAGATTCTCTCAACCACAGTATTACCAACTTAACAAGTGCCGAGATTCACTTAATGACCATGTGCAAGAAAGATCGCAAAATGGGGCCAACTGTTTCGTTTAGCTACAGAAATTGTGGGCTCCATTGTTTTCACAAGTCAAAGATTACCCCTGTATGCCTTCCACAATTTTCAAATCCTTGGCATAGTAATAAGTAAGTTAAGAATGGATTGCATAAATTCAGTTGCCAGAAGGAAGCCTTTGCTCGCCCTCATTTTGAAGTATCAAATACACCGAATTTTCCGTCAAGTTCTCAGCTGCCCCATTCGGTTGCACACCAATGAAACTCAATTCTACTCAACTGCGGGTCAAAATTCCTTGGTTCCTTAAAGGATGCCAAAACAACCTTAAGGTCTTGTGAACACCATTCCTGACCTTCCCAGTCTGGCTTTTTCGAAAAGCAAAGTTCACAGCGGAAGTCGGGATTCGTTTAATGGACCCATGATTCACTTAACGAATGCGATGATTCGCTGAACAATCAGGGCCAATTTCTTTTTTTACAATCGGATGCAACTTCCTTAAGAATAGCCTCCCTTAGCCAGGTAAATTCTGCTTCCAATTGCTGTCAAGGACTACCTATAAACTACTTTTTGTGAGAATCTTATTTCAGAAGTATCATTAAAAATGTGGGGATGGGGAAGAGGAGGCTAAGCCAGCTAACTTGGGATTTAAATAGTATATTTTTGGGGGTGGATGGGTGGGGAGGAACTGAACAAGACTTTGTACCAGAAACAATGGATGTGGTCCAGTCAAAGTGTTCTATATTATACCGGTTTAATGAGAGTTCGGTAATACAACTTTTAAAAAGTAAGAGAGGGAACAAGGTGATGAAAGTGCTAGAAAAGTTTATACCAGAACAACTGAAGCTAAATACAATTTATGGAACAATACAACAAGCAATTCTGAGTGAGTCAAGTTGCCCCTGAGCAATTATTTACTCGAAATGTATGTGATTTTAGTTTATAAAGTGTTTAGTTTATATTCTGCAATCCCCTTCCTCTCCTGCCCATTCCTTTGGCTGTTGTCATCGTTTGCTTCCTTTAAAAAAAAATAATCCTTTTTTTTTTTCTACAGACGAGAGACATAGTTTCCACGAATTTAACCATAGGCTGCAAAAGGACAAAAAAAATGCTGGTGGATTACAGCGAGTCTCATTTCCTTAATATAAATATAAAAATTGCATCTCTGAAGATTCGGAAGATTTATAGGATGAAACTATCTAATCTTTCAAATATTTTTTGGGGGGGAGGGGGGAATTATCGATACCGAGAAGGTATTACAAAAATACTTGGTGAGGGCTCGTCTGCTGAAGTTTTCATAAAAGCCGATTAAAAACTTTTGACAGGGTTAAGAGTTTTTCGTTTGTGATCGGCGCGACCAAATCTATGCTCTCCGGAAGTGCTTCAATTACGCAGATCTTTTTCGTCCAGGACCTTATGAATACGGAAGGATTCCGTATGGATGGAAATTCATTTCTAACAAGGAAGAGCTGGAATTTATTTTGCTGGAACAGTGGCTTCTTCTCAGCTAAGGCAGGTTGAGGTGTTCTTGAGGGCAGGAAATGCCGAGGAGTGGAGAAAATTTGTATGCCTGCCACCCTTCCCCAGCGAGGTAGATTTGAATCAATTTTATCCATGAATGTCACACCACAAGGAGTACCATTGTGTGTCCCATTCACACAGTTTGCATGACAAAAACAGATCACTGCATCCCACCAAAAGGGTTTGCTCAGTGAATCTACCAAGACACTCGATCCCAGGCAAAACAAAAGGAGAACTTACATAACCTCTCCCACACACACACACGGAAAAAAAGGCAACATTGATCAGGATATACGACATCTGCGTGGGCACCCACTTTCTGATGGTAACTGGAGATTTATTTTTTATTTTTTTGCATTCATTCCCAGGGTTGAGGATTTCGTTTTCTGCATTCAAAAAAAAAAAAAAAGTGTCTTCTATCCAACCATATTCCAAAAAGATCCATTCATTGCATTGCTGGGCATAAAAAAGAGACGTGCATTCTCTTACGACAGGCACATCAAGTCTCTGGCAAGGATTAGCAAACTGGATTTTGAAAAAAACAAAAAACAGTAACTATCATCGATATATATATACTGGCTGATTAAATGGCAAAACTAATCAGCTTGACTATAAGATGTCTTAGTCTGAAGGAAATATAACCTATTTGCTGGCAAATTTAGGGCACGCTGAGCATCCCCAGGAAACGAAACAAAACAAAAAAAATGTTCACATTCTTTCGGTCTGGCCGACGGCAAGAATCAAGAAGGGCCGAGCAAACATTTTTTTTTACTGACCATCAAGAAAGGTTGCGAGGAGATAAACATCCAAAGATCCAGTCCAGCTGAATCGGAATTAAAAGCTTAGGTCAAAAAAAAAAAATTGAAAAGAAAAGAAAAAAAAAAACCCCACAAAAAGGGCAAGGGAAGTGAGAAGTTCAGACGAGCATGTGGCGTTTCCGATGGAGGGCAAGATGGTCAGAACGAGAGAAACTACGATCACAGTCCGGGCACTGGAATGGTTTGACTCCGGTATGTTTCCGGAAGTGTCGTGTAAGTTCGTCCGATCGAGCAAACTTCCATGTGCAACCTTCCCAAGTGCATTTGTAAGGCTTTTCACCTATGGATTTAAAAAACAACAACACTTGTTTTAAGAAACACAAGCGAGATTATTTTACCCCATACATTAAAAAAAAACTTACGAGAAGAGCAATATTTCTTCATCACCAGTAATTTCACTGAGTGTCTCTATGGTCAGGCGCTAAATCCACAAACCTATGCACAAGAAACTTCTCAACCAGCTTTGCAGCTGTTAAGAGTTAGCTAAGGGACAACGGAATTGAAGGGAAATTGATTTATGGTAGTTAGCTTGTGACTACATTGGGATTCTAGGCTGATACCTCTTTTAACGCCGTCCTCCATTTCTGCCACTTCTTATTATCCTACGTCTATTTTTCCAACAAATGTTTTGATTCTGGGTAGAAACATTAGTAAAATAGGTCCTTGCATGACCCCAAAAAATGTGGCCGTACATTTGCTCTCTTGCCAGCTATGGATAATTTGCACCGTCAATTCCAGATGAACTTGCTGCAACAGATTTTTTAAAAAGCGCACCTCTGTACAGCAAAGAGTTTCAATGTGATTCCTCAAGTTTAACTGCTGGATTGGTTCCAGAGGTTTTTGAGAGAATTAAAGGGGCTTAGTATAAGTTTTAATTATAATGAAGCGTTTAAATTGATTTCTGCCCAAATGTGGGAATCTTATGAAGAATAAAGTACATATAATTTACGATACAGGTAGCCCTCGAGTTATGACCACAGCTGAGCCTCAAATTTTGAGGCTGAGCCATTTGTAAAATTAATGTTGCCCCATTTTATGACCTTTCTTATCACAGTTAAGTGAATCACTGCAGTCGTTAAATTAATAAAATTGTTAAGTGAATTTGGCTTTCCCATTGGTTTGCTCATTCTAAGGTCACAAAAAATGGTCATACGAGCTCGGGACACTGCAACCATCATAAATATGAACAGTTCCCAAGTGTCTTAATTTTTATCACATGACCATGGGGATCTTGTAATGTTCGTAAGTGTGAAAAATGGTCCTTTTTTTTAGTGGTGTTGCAACTTCGAATGGTCACTAAATGAACTATTGTAAGTTGAGGACTACCTGTATTTACAAAGAAATGATTAAATGGGCGAATTTGAAGCCAAGTTGGAATTTCTGAGCAATCTGTTGATCGATATACTCTGTAGTAAAACTAATCTGGTTTCTTTCAGTGACCGATTTTCAGTTTTATAAAAATCTCTCACTTCCTATTCTTTTCACTGTGGAAATGTATCCTTCTGTTTAAAAAGTCTATTAACAAAAATAGGAGAAGGGGACAAAGATTAGGAGCCAAAGACTGACTTCACTTAATTCAAACGTTTATCTGTTCATAATATTTATAACTTGTCCCAAGCCAAACTGTACATTTTAAATGCCATTTTGACACAGGAGGGATTAATTTTTCAATGTGGGGAAGAAATGGCGTAACTAAATTCTTCAGTTCAATCCTCACTCAATTTGTACCCAGTGACACTTTTTCAGTTCTTAATTTTGTGAATGAATAGTGTTGATTGAAAAATTTCAGATGCGGTATTCCTTCACCGTGCTTCTGTTTATAGCGTTCATTTTCATTATGTTTCTTTAATTAGCACTTCAATTTTATTGAATTCACCTGGATTGTCTGAATTCAAATAACTTCTTGAAATATGAAATTTCTATGAGATGGTTGCTCATTACTAACTGATAATCTATGAGAGTTTGAATATGAACTTGCTACTGTATGATCTGTATTTAACTGAAATACACACACACACACATATAAGATAGGATTTTGGGTGCATTTTATACACAAATCAATTACATCATTGTCTATGTTTTATGTAGGACCTCAAATCTTTTGTTTTTTCATGTTTATTACTTATTGATTTGATAAATTTATACACTATTACCTTTGCAATGTGACTAAAGGTTTCGTCTCCTTACTTAATTTTAAAAAATACAGGAAGTCCTCAACTTACAACAGTTCATTTAGTGACCGTTCAAAGTTATAACAGCCCTGAAAAAAAGTGACTTATGACCATTTTTCACACTTATGACCATTGGAGCAATTCCTGTGACCACATGATCAAAATTCAGGTGTCTGGCAACTGGTTCATATTTATGATGGTTGCAGTGTCCCGGAGGTCATGCGATTCCCCTTTTGTGACCTCCTGTCAATGGGGAAGCCAGATTCATTTAACAACTAGTTGGGTACTAATGCAATGATTCACTTAACAACTGTGGAAAGAAAGGTGATAAAATGGGGCTAAACTCACTTAACAAATGTCTCACTTAGCAACATGAATTTTGGCCTCAATTGTGGTCATAAGTCGAGGACTACCAATATTGCCAATGGTGATAATGAATCCTGGGCCAATGATTATAGCCCCGTGGTGGTGAACCACAGGTGCTGGAAGTGGCGCGCAGAGCCATTATTGCTGGCACACGAGCACTCGCCCAGAAAAGCTCTACTGCGCATGCATGCACGCTGCCTGTCTGACAGCTGATTGTCGGGTATCTGGCGTGCATGTGCAGGGGCGCAGCGGCGCGCAGGGCACACTCTCATATGCGCAGAAGCGTGCGGTGCATGTGGGGGGTTGCATGCACATGCGCAGGAGGCATGGAGGCCCCCGTGCGCATTGCCTTCTGGCACGCGAGCACGTGATGGCACGCGAGCACGAGCAGGCAAGTGCGCGTGCAATTATTGGCATGGGAGCCCCAAAAGGTTATCCACCACTGTTATAGTCGACTGCTATTTAAATTTGGGCACAAATCCCATTATCCAAACTTTCTAAATTTGAAAAATGTCACAGCCAACATTTAAAGTTGCTTTCAACGATGCTACCATTAAATTGCAGGGGTGCGGGGAACCTGCAAAGACAGAAAGAAGAAGAAAAATATCCATAATTCCCTCCGCAAGAACCCTTTAAAAAGCACATCAGAAACTTTTAAACATAATTCAGTGCTTTGGGGAAGGAGTTTACCGCCAACATAGTAGGGTGTGAATATTCCACTGAGTCACAGTTAGAAGGCCAAAAAGACAAACTTAGCTACCAGACAGAGAAGCAAAATGGACGAAGGAGAAAATAAATACCGGCCTCTTGAATCTGGTACTGTATCTACTTGGGAGGGAATAAACCACTTAACACAGCAAAACCTATTTCCAAAGAAGCTTGCGTAGGATATATAGAAAATCCTCGACTTACAGCTGCAATGGAGCCCAAAATTTCTGTCGGTAAGTGAGGCAGTTGCTAAGTGAGTTGTGCCCCATTTTAAAACCTTTCTCGCCATGGTTGTTAAGTGAACCATTGCACTTGTTAAGTGAGTAATCTCATTAAGTGAATCCGGATTCCCCGTGGACTTGGCTCACCAGAAGGTTGCCAGAGGGGAATCACGTGATTCCAGGGACGCGGCAACTGTCATAAATGTGAGTCAGTTGCCAAGCTGATGGAATTCTGATCGTTTGTCTGAATTTTAATAATCTGACCACGGGGATGCTGAATTTTGATCATCTGACCATGGCCGTAAGTGTGAGAAACGGTCCTTAACAGTAGTGGTATGCTGCTGGTTCACACCGGTTCTAGTGCAAGTCAGCAGTTGGCCCCACCCACCCGCCCTTTCCTGTTCCCTATTCCCTTTGTTTGTAGCTCTTCAACTGAAGTGCGCGCCCACAGAACCGGGAGTAAAATATTTTGAATTCCACCCCTGGTCCTTAAGTGACTTTTTGTCAGGGCCGTTGTAACTTTGAATGGTCATGAAGCAAGCTGTTGTAAGTCTAGGACTACCTGTAGTAGGAGCTGGGTCTTTTTTAAAAATCATTTCATTAAGGTTTCCAAGCCCCCCTCCCCCCTCCAAAAAAAAAAAAGAAAAAAGAAAGGAAAAGAAAAGAACACTTGTTTCCTACCTGTGTGTGTTCTTCTATGGGCTTTTAAATGAGAGCTTTTTGTGTACACCTTGTTGCAGCCTTCGTAATCACACCGGTGTATCCGTCTCTTCCTTTGCGTGTCTGGCGATTCCACAGGTAGAGGTCTCTTCCCAGGCTGGACTATAACTGAAGGGTGATTCCTGCGTTAAGTTGAATCATAGGTTAAAACTACAACCTTTTGAACTAAAACCATCTTCTTCTTCTTCTTCTTCTTTTTTTGAATGGCCCACCCCAGTGTTCACTTCTTCAATACCCATTTGTCTTCTGCCGGCGTTCATAACATTACATACATGTGGAAAAAATTCAAGCAAGCTTAGTAAATGTCATGGACTTCTGTGGTAATTGTTTGGCTGACTTTCCTACTAAACGATTCAGTTTCATTTATTCTCTGGCATGATGAACAAGCCATCTCCCTTCCTCTATTTTTTATGTATTTATTTTTCCTCAGAATGGTAGGATTTGACCGAATATTTTAAGCCGCAATCTGAATCAGAAATCTTTGTGCTTCTATTGGTTTACACGTTTTTCTAAATATTTTAGCAAAAAAACCCTTTTTTTTTTTTAATGATACAGATTTTTCCCTCCCAGGCTATGAATGTTATCAACTTCCTTTACCGACATAAACTCAACAGATTTTACTCTTCATCTGTTTTTTTAGAGCCCAAATAAGAATTTCTGATTTGGTGCAGCCGCATGGGTGCAAAGCTTTCTGAATTAGGTGAAGAGTGTAAGGAGTCCAAAGTTGCTGAGCTTGCCTCGAGAAGGCGAGCCTCAAGAAGCTTTCAACTACAATTCGCTTTTCCACGGGCGAGATTTGAAAACTTCTAAGCTACTTACTCTTGTAGCATGGGAGGTGACAATGAGGTAATCACAGGAGGAGACATTTGCTCAGGATAGTAGTCATTTCTTGGCGATTCCAAGCCCGGTTCTACCTTGATAGATGTCTTTAGTACTGGCTTTTCGTAAGATTCGATGACAGATACTGTGTGGAGGAAGAAGAGTCAGTGAATGGTAAACAAAGAGAAGAAAAGCTTGCATTTGAGTCTTTGGTCACTGCATTCTTGCTACATCGTTCTTAAAAATATAAATTGCAAATACAAACATTTGAATTAATCTGCATAACTGAACGACAATGCTGTTCTATAATAAATCTTATAACTCAATCCTTTGTTCTGGTCCCTATAGGCAAATCTATAGTGGCTTCCATGCTATTGCTTTGCTTTCTATAGGAACACCAAGTGCTTAATAGAACAATATCAATTATTCTATTAAGAACAATTGAATTAAAGTACATAAATGAACGACAATGCAGTTCTATAACAGCAATAGCACTTAGACTTATATACCTCTTCATTACAGCCCTCTCCAAGCAGTTTTATAGACTCAGCCTCTTGCACCCAACAATCTGGGTCGTCATTTTACCCACCTTGTAAGGACAGAAGGCTGGGTCAACCTTGAGCCTGGTGGGATTTGAACTGCCAAATTTCAGGCAGTTGGCAATCAGCAGAAGTAGCCTGCAGTTCTGCACTCTAACCACTGTGCCAACACGGCTCTTTTAACCCTCTTACAACCTTATAACCCAGCCCTTTGTCCTGGTCACTATAGATAAATCTATAGTGGCTTCCATTCTATTGCTCTGCTTTTATAGGAACACCAAGTACTTAACAGAAAAATATCAGTTATTCTATTAAGAATAATTGATATTATATAATAATAGAAATAATAGTAATAATGGAATATCAATTTAGCACCTTCAACAAGTATATTTGAAACACTTTAGCGAGATTACATTCCTCCAAGAAATGTAGGTCAGCCCGCAATTACTCTCTGCCCTTCCATTTATCATAGCATTTATCACCATGACAATGGGATGCTTAAAGCAAGAGAAAGCTAGCTAAAGATTGCTTAGGGAGAATCATTTTCTTCAGGTCTATGGGTGCTCTCCATAGTTCAGTCTCTCTCTTTATAAGCTCCTATTCACACCACCAAGTTTAGGATAATTTATAGAGCTGTGGTAGCGCAGTGGCTAGAGGGCAGTATTGCAGGCAGACTCTGCTCAGTGCCAGGAGTTCGATTCTGACCGGCTCAAGGTTGACTCAGCCTTCCATCCTTCTGAGGTTGGTAAAAATGAGGACCCAGATTGTTGGGGGCAATAGGCTGATACTGTAAAACCGCATAGAGTGGGCTGTAAAAGCACTGTGAAGCAGTATATATGTCTGATCCCTAGTGCTATTGCTATAATTTAAAGTAGAAGATGAATGGATTCTTTAAGCTGACTTCACACACACACAAAATAAGAGAAGGAAGTCCACAAAAGAACAAAACAAACCTGAAAACAGATGTTTTACCTGGCACGCTGCTTGGGTTTTCCAACTCTTCGGAAAGAACGGTGGACACCATGATAGGCTGTTGAAGGTGAGAGGCGTACATGAAAGGGACAGGTTGAACGACAAGGGGTTGAATAACAGGAAGTATTCCCGGGCTTCTTAGTCCGTGGCGGGAAAGAGCTGCCATGACCGGAGGAATAGTTAAGGGCATAGTAAAAGGCTGCATTCCTGGTGGGCCCAGTTTCTTCATGGGAGGGCTGGATGATGGAAGATTTAATCCCGGGGAAACTCTCTGGGGTAGAGTCTGGAATTTGAAAGAGGAAGGAGAGTTTCCAGCGGAAGGTGGCGAACTCCGTTTATTCATGGTGAGGTCAACCGGTTCCACCTGAACCCCACTGCACAGTCCATCTGGAATCTGATAGAACTTATTGGACATCATATCTGGTGTGGAATAGATGACACCATACTTATTGGACTTCATGTGGTCCATGTAAGTAGAGTTGAACGACTACAGGAGAAAAGGAGGAGGAAAGGAATGAATGGAAACCCATGGAAAGGAATGGAAACCAGAAAAGAGGAAGGGAAAAATGTATTGGAGAACAGGAACTCCTTGTGACTTGTTTCTGTCATGCTCTAATTTGAATTCTACTTGACTTAAAATTAAAGTAAATCCATCGAATACACAGAAACATTTTTGAAAAACCATACTACAAATGACAATAGTGCACAGTTATTCCACTCTAGTGAACAATTCACTTATTTATGAGATTTTTATCCTGTCTTTCTTACTTTCTTACTGGTAGTAGCTTACTTTCTTACTTTATTAGTAGCTCAAGGCAGTGAACATACCTAATACTCTTTCCTCCTCCTATTTTGCCCTCAACAACCACCCTGTGAGGTGAGTTGGACTGATAGGGAGTGATTGGCCCAAAATCACCCAGCTGGCTTTCATGCCTAAGGCAGGACTAGAACTCACACTCTCCTGGTGATTGGTAGGTAACACTTTTTGATACCTGCCATGAGTTTTGATGTAAATCCAATTTATTTGTTAGAAATGCTCAGAATGTGTATTTGGTCACCTCTAACCTGCTTTGTAATCTTGCATCTTTCAGAACTGGAAAAAAATGTGGATGGTATTGCAGACCTCCTTTATTACAGTGTAATGAGAATAAATATTAATATTTATACACTTTTTAAATACTGACCACTGGAATTGGTTCCATTGCTTCTTGTTTGATAGGGACGGGATCAAACATCAACATTTTCTTTCGAGATAAATACCTTGGATTCTAAAAACAAGGGGGGAAAAGGACAACGGTTGTAATTTTTAGTTTACATCATTTCAGTATGGCATTAACAAAGGGTACTTTGGATTATAACAATCAACAAACCATTAAAAATCACACTAAAGATGTTTTCAAAAACTGAAAAAAAATCTTCATCGTTTCTGTGTTTATAATGCTAACATGTTAACATTCTAAATCCAAGATCCTTTAAAAAAGTATGATTACAACATGATGTTTTGGCATAAGGACACACATTTTAAGACAATGTTTTGAATAGTCATGAGCCAAAGTGGAAAACTTTGGTAGAGATCTGAAGAAATTTTATACGGTCAAAGGTGCATTCGTTCATTGACAACCACAGTTGAGCCGAAAGTTTATGTTGTTAAGTGGGGCATTGGTTAAGTGACTTTTGCCCAGTTCTGCGACCTTTCCAGCCTCAGTTGTTAAGTGAATCACCGCAATGGAAAAGTTAGTCACCTGGTTGTTAAATGAATCTGGATTCCCCATTAACTTTGCTCATCAGGTTGCAAAAGGGGATTGCGTGACCCTCGGGAGAATAAATACAAACCATTTCCCAAGTATCCAAATTTTGGTCACATGGTCATAGGGATGCTGCAAAGGTCATAACTGTGAAAAACAGCTGCAAATGGTCACTAAATGAACTGCCTTTGCAAGGAATCAGGCAAGAATAATTCCAGTCCCAAACTAAAAAGTCCCTGATTAGAAAAACTTAGAATAGTTTAAAATTCCTACTTGGTGATCTAATAGCCAGTCGCCTGTACACTTCTGAGTTTTGCCAAATTTTAAGACAAAAGAAGAGCTAGTTGGATGTCACACTTAGGGTGGAACTTCAGGCTAGACACTGGGAGGGTTGTGGGTTCTATTCCTGCTTTAGGTACAAAGCACAATCACATTTCTCTCAACCTTTTGAAGGAGGTGATGGCAAAACACTTCTGAAAAAAAAAACTGTGAGTAAATCCAGAAAGTTTTTGAGAATCAGAGAAATTTTTTTAAAAATGGCAAACGACTGAAGTTTACTTCACCTGCATTTCCAAAATGCTTTCCTTCAATGGGTTTTTTTTATAAAAAAAATCTCTAGATGTAAATGTAAATTTTGTAAAAAAATCTCTAGATGTAAATGTAAATTTTGGTTTTTATTTTTTTTGCAATTGGGAGTTATGTTTTTTTCAAACCCCTCAAAAAACAACTGAACAACCACAATGTTCTTAAAGTTAAATCAGTGGGCCAAGTTCAAAGAAAACCCCCTCAATACACTACATTTTAGATATGTACGATTTTAGATAGTATTAGTAAGAAATCAGATAAGGAACCCTGCTCCCTTAAGAAAACAGCCTTGCCTCTCCTGTTAAAAATAAAACATAGAACTGCACAGTGTCGTTTTCCCGTCTCCTCCCTTGCTGCTCCACCCTGTGGATTGAGGCCAAGGCAAAGCAACTTGTCCAAACAGGACATGGTTGTGATAAGATTTCGCTCACGCCCTGTGCTAAGCAAAGAAATGGGATTTTTCTATGCAAGTAAGGCCAGGTATAAAGGTAAGAAAGAAACACAATCTAAGGCATAGGTCTGATATCCAGGAGAGTGCAAGCCTGGGATGGAAAAATGAAATCTCTTCTCTGCTCTATGGTTTCTCCTCTGATGAAAGAGAGAGGATCGCCGGATCCCAGGAAAGCAAGACGAGAAAAGAGATTTCATTTTATTTATTTGTTTGTGTATATCGTATTTATAGGAATCCTCAACTTACTGAAGACTAGCCCAAAATTTCCACTGCGAGGCGAGACAATTGTTAAGTGAGTTGCATGCCCTGTTTTAACCATCCTTTTTACAGTTAAAAATGGTGATCACGTGACCTCAGGGCAACCGTCAGAAATACATAAACACGGTAAAGTGTCTGAACTCTGATTACTTGACAGTGGGGATGCTGCAATGGTCGTAACAGTGAGGACCTGGACACAAGTCCAGTCATTTTCAGTGAAATCAGGAGCTAACAAACTTGATAAATAGGTCACTTTCAGTCAGAATAGATCTGGAAGCAGGAGACTTTATACCATTCTGGACAAATGGTAGTCTCTTCTAAAAAACCTCCAGTGATGTGAGCATCCAGAACTTCTGGATACAATTGATTAACTGTTCTAACTGTCAAGAAATTTCTCCTTAGTTCTAGGTTGCTTCTCTCCTTGATTAGCTTCCATCCATTGCTCCTTGTCCTGCCATGTATGTATGTATGTATGTACGTACGTATGTCAATTGCTTACAAGATAATAGGTATAAGTAAAAACATAGTTATGAATACATGGATACATATCAGAAAAATTTAAAAAAAATAAAAGAAACAATAGGACAGGGATGGTAGGCACGTTGGTGTGCTTACGCATGCCCCCTTTTAGGAAAGGGGTGAGGTTAATAGTAGACAGTCTAAGGTTAAAGTTTTTGGGGTTTGGGGAAGAAACCACAGAATCAGGTGGAGTATTCCAGACATTGACCACTCTGTTGCTGAAGTCGTATTTCCTGCAATCAAGTTTGGTGCGGTTTGTATCTATTGTGCGCTCTTGTATTCTTATGGTTGAAGCTGAAGTATTCATTAACAGGTAGGACATTGCAATATATTATTTTATATACTATACTTGGATCGGACCGAAGGTGGTGTAGTTCTAAGTTTTCTAGGTCTAGAGTTTCGAATCTGGTGGCATAAGGTATTCTGCAATGAGTAGAGGAGTGGAGAACTCTTCTTGTGAAATATTTCTGGACTTTCTCAACTGTGTTAATATCAGATACGTAATGTGGGTTCCAGACTGATGAGCTGTTTATTGGTCTAGCAAATGTTTTGTATGCTCTAGTTAGTAGTGTGATATTACCAGAGAAAAAGCTATGTAGGATTAGGGTAACCACTCTTAATGCCTTTTTGGCTATGTAGTTACAGTGGGCTCTAGCACTTAGATCAGGGGTGGGATTCTAGCAGTTCGCACCTATTCGCTAGAACCAGTTGTTAACATTCTAAGCAGTTCGGAGAACCAGTTGTTAAAAGAAATTATTGGCCTAATCCTGTAAGGAAGGCAGGAAGGAAACATTCTGGTGTTGCTTACAGAAACTGCCTCTCCGTTAAGCCTTATTACATTCTTGGCAGGACTAGACTTCCTGTCTCAGGAACTTCTCCGGAGTTTTTTTTCCCCCCTCCTTTGCTGGTACTTTGCTTGTGTGGAGTGACCATTGAAAAAAGTAACTTATGACCATTTTTTACACTTATGACTGTTGCAGCATCCCCAGACGCACAAGAGGCCAGGCGAGGAGATGCGTTCCTCAATGTGAGTGATGTTGAGTTGGCCACATCCAGCCAGTAACTTGACCACCAAGCCATGCCCACCAACTAAGCCACGCCCACAGAACCAGTTGTTAAAAAAATTTGAATCCCACTCCTGACTTAGATAATTAGAGATGAGTATTCCAAGGTCCTTGACAGAATTTGGATCATCAACAAGGTCTTGACAATTCAGCTTGTATTTTATTTTCTGATTTTTTTTGCCAATATGTAAGACAGAGCATTTATTTGTTGATATTTGAAGTTGCCATTTGTTTGACCATTCTGATACACAGTCAAGGTCTTTTTGAAGGGTAGTAGAATTATCTGCGGTGTTGAATAGCCTTCTGGTGCTTTGGAGAATAGCTTGACTCCCTCTTCTTTGGGGCAGCCCCTCAGATATTAGAACACTGCTATTGTGTCTCCCCTAGTCCTTCTTTTCATTAAACTAGACATACCTAGTTCCAGCAACCATTCTTTATATGTTTTGGCCTCCAATCCCTTAATCCTCTTTTTTGCTCTTCTCTGCACTCTTCCTAGAGTCTCAACATCTTTTTTACATTGTGGCGACGAAAACTGGATGCAGTATTCCAAGTGTGGCCTTACCAAGGTATTACACAAAGTGGTATTAAAACTGCACGTGATTTTGATACTATCCCTCTGTTTATGCAGCCTAGAACTGTGTTGGCTTTTTTGGCAGTCGTAGCACACGGTAAGTGATTGTCCACAAAGGACTCAAAGAGCTCTCTCACAGTTACTACTATTGAGTGAGGTACCACCTATACTGGTTTTTCTTGCCTAAATGTAGAACCTTACTCTTTTCTCACTACTGAATTGCATTTTGTTAGATAGGGACCAATGTTCAGTCTTGCCAGGGTTTAATCAAAACCTGTTGTTTACCATCAAGACTGCAATCTCGATCACTCTTTTACTTGCTTGGGTCTACAGGCCCCATATGTTTCTGTAAATACATTTCCCTTAATTCCCATTTTCACATGAGAAAGGAAGGAAGAAGGAATTCCTTCCAACGGCTTTGTGAAATTCACTTATTTATTGCTCTCAAACTTCCCAAAGCTTAGAAATCAGGCTGCCATCAAAAGAAAACATTTACTTTTCCTTCATTAGTCCAGCAAAATATTTTAACAAAGTTCCCTTAGTTTAACAAAATAGTCTTTAAGTGCTTTGGCACAAATATTTAAATAGAGCCTAAAATAGAAGCAAGGACACAGGTTTGTGCAAGTTAAAAGAAAATAGTTTTAAAAACATGCTACTAAAATTAAAACAAAATCCATTGCTTTTTGTCAACAAGTGAACTGCACATATCAAAACTATGCTTTTTCTAAAAGTCTGAGATAATTCTGGTGTTCACCCATATAAAAATCCAATCATATTTATCTAGAAAGAGAAAATTGCTAGAGAAGTACAGTAGAGTAATGATTTAAATGAATGAACTGAACACCCCTTCAGATAAAGCTTTGATCACACTGTTCATTTTACAGTATTTACCAAGGATACAGTTGTTGTGACTTTGCAGTGGTAACCTTCCTTATTTTCCTACCATTGGTTCTGTTTTTGCATTGTTTTAAGGGGAAAAAATCCTAGTTTTTAGGAGAAAAAAGAGTGACCAGCTGAAAAATGCATTTTTATTTGTAGCTGATGTTTACTGAGAAAAACATCCTGTTTTCTCTTT